AGAAATTATGGAGTTTATTGTTACTGAGTTTTTTGTAGTAACAGAGAGGAAACTGAAGCTCTTATAAAGTAATGCTTAGAAGAATAAATTAGAATGAGGATGATTTACTTAATGGAAGTAAATTTCAAAAATACTCAAGAACTACCCTTCAAATAGACACTAAAATGAAATAAAGCCCAAGATCAATGAGAAAATCATTCTCTCACAATCTCCATTCAGTCCCCTTCCCACATACAGATAAGGTTCAGTTCACTCACATACACAACTCAGTGAAAAAGTAGGTAGGTTTTTATTTTCAAATTGGGTTCACCAATGAATACCTTTGCATTCATTTATAAAAGAATATGAACCTTGTATAACAAATAAGAAAAAAATACAAAGCAGTATTGTTAACCAACGGGAAAAAAATACGTGAAAATCCAGTATGAAAAGTGTCTCAACTGACATTGGGAGTAAGTGAAGAATAGCCTCTCCATATCAGTAATAGGAGGCTATAGTAAAATGCTAGCAGGATCTTCACTTAGGTTTCCTACAACAGAAAAATCAGATTGTAGGAAACTATTAAGACCTTATAAAAGAGATTTGGCTCCGTTTTGGTAATCTTTGACAAGTTGTGGAAGAAAGAATACTCAAAGCAGAAAGGAAACATCTTTGTTCTAATTTTCATAAAAAGTAAGTATAAGTGTAGACTTATTTTCTAGAAACACTGGAAATTATTATAATAATGTTTAAACTCCTAGAGAAGATATAAAATGGTAATTATCCATTTCCCCAAGAAATACCTCTGTTAAATGTGCTGTCCAAGACTATTTGCTCTGCTTTATCTTAAATTCCAAATGGCTGCAAATTGCCTTTCCTCTGTCTCTTTGTCCCATCTGTCACCTAGAATCAGCCAATGGGAGACACTGGTGAAAAGCTAGGGAATGGAAGGAAAAGAGAGGCAAATGCTTACAAGGAAGGGATGAGGAGGTATAAGAAAAAAAGCAATGGGCCCATGAGATTGGCTTGCATGCATGAAGCCCTGGGTTCGATTCCTCAGCACCACATAAACAGAAAAAGCCGGAAGTGGCGCTGTGGCTCAAGAGGAAGAGCACTAGCCTTGAGCTGAAGAGCTGAGGGACAGTGCCCAGGCCCAGAGTTCATGCCCCACTACCGACAAAAAAAGAAAAAGAAAAAAGCAATGATAGCATTTCTTTCATCTTTCAACCCTCTCCACCAAGACTCACCCTGTTTTCTTCTATTAGTTAGCTAGACCCTATGAACCTCCACCAAAGCTCTCTGCTATTACTAATCTCTGGGATGCTTCCTCACTTCCTGTTCAAATTCCCTGTACTCTAGTTATGCTTTAAGTAGTTTCTGTTTACCTAGACCCTGAGATCACAAGCCAGCCTCTTTTTGTATTTTTTTATAGCTATGTTAGGTTAATAAACAAGCTAAAAGAATGCTGTTGACATACTATAGCCAGATAACAGCAAGACATTTGACAGATAATCTTATAATGTCTCTCAGAACAGAATATGAGGAATTTTTTAACATTATTATTAACATTCTTAGATTACTGCAGTTTATTAATGCTCAAAATATACCTGATAAAAAGCTGCTTCCCCAAATTCCTATCCTTGACCATGTCTTATTCAGCATAGTTACCAGTGATTTAGACAAGAGCATAAAAAGCATCTCTATTAAATGTTTGTATACCAAAACTAAAAGCTAATTCCACTTTTGAAAGAATAAACTTTATAAGGAAACAGGGTTTTCTGCTGTGTATGAAATATAAATTATAAAAATATAAGAGGCAGTAAGCTTTCCAGTATATTATTATGTAGGAATGAAATCTGGATTATATTGAGTACAAGCTCTATATGAAGAAGAAGTGTAATATGTTTAGGACCAAGAAAAAAAAGATTAATCTCTTGGCCCCATTAAAAAATATCTAGTGTCCCTACCAAATGAAAATATTTCTCATCTTGTGTAAGAATGGCTTAGGAACATAATGTAAGAAAGATATTGCTGAGTTGGAATACCACTTTTCCCAATTCTTGTAAAGCTTTGGGTCATTTGCAAACTGTGTTTGCACACACACGCTTGCTTTTGCCTCACAGTACCCCAATGGAAGTTACACTGCTACTCCATTTCTCAGTCTGTTTGTTCCTATCGATTCAAATTCCATAACTCAATGTGTATCTTTACCCAAGCTCGTGTGCTTGTTTATGAGACTAGTCTTTTCAGTAAAACCTAGTCTCACTCCCGTAAGACTAACAAGATGATCTATTTTGCTTACTATTAAAATAAATCAAGCATACCTGCTCTGTGATAGAGTAATAGATTCATAATCTTTGTGCAAATATTGACTGGCACAGGAAAACTATAGTAAGTGAATTCCTGCATTGGGAAGGTTGTATTACACAAATCAGATGACCTCTAGAGTGACACCAACTCTGGAGAGTCTGATTTGGTTTTTGGCTCATGAATAGATTTATGTTTTCTCATTTTTAAGTTAAAAATACTTGTTTTACTTTTATAATTTCATCTCCAGCAATGTAATTGTTTTTCTGGTAATTTAAGATTAATGTATTCTATCTGTGAAGAAACTTAAGAGCCTGGAAGAGGAAGAAAAGCATGACTAGTGTTTTTGTAATTACCGACACAAGAAATATTATGCTATTTCCCAGAATATGTCCCCCGAGTGAATGTCTGCATGTGTTCCATTTCATTCCTAGCTCAGAATCCTATCAAGGATGATAAGGAGAATCATTTTGAAATATATTGAAGTAGAGAATAGAGTTTGCAAAGTATTATTAGGTTTGCTAAATTGAACCTGTACAAATGCAAACTGTCAGTATACCACTGTAAAAACCAACACCTGAATGATAAAAGGTCCTGGAAATGACCTATTAAAGGCCACCAAAATGACAGTAGTTGAAAAAGCATAAACTTTACTTTGATAATACCTTTCTGGTCTTCTTTCTAAAACTAGTATAGTCTCTTGGTTCAAATAGGATAGTTATTCATGAAGGGTTAAGAGGACTGAAAAAGGAAAATAAAAATTATGTTAAAGTACATAGAAAAACAAGAAATTCCCCTATAAGAACAAAATATGGCAAAAAGTAGATGTGTCAGTGTTTTAAATTAACTTCAGATAACATTTTGCTTTGGACTTAATTCTGATTAGCTTAAAAAAATTCTGTCTTTGGAAGTGGCGCTGTAGTTCAAGTGGTAGAGCGCTGGCCTTGAGCTGAAGAGCTGAGGGACAGCGCCCAGGCCCAGAGTTCAAGCCCCACGACCGACAAAAATAAATAAATAAAATAAAATGTTCGCTTCGGCAGCACATATAAAAAAAAAATTCTGTCTTTATAGTTTCTTGCTGAGTTCTAAAAGGTGACTTTCTTGAGATCCTGAGAATTAAAAAAACAAAAGCAATCCTGTTGTGAATCCTTCATATTTTAGATCTTTTCTAAGAATGGTGAAAAGGGCTGAACACCCTTGTCATACTTTTTTTTAATCCGGTATCTGTCCCCCATATCCCTGCTTCAATTTCTTCCCAATCTAACTGATCATAACATAGTTCTCCCAGAAAGGGTTGTGATGCATTGACAGTACTAAAAGGAAAAAAAGATGGGACAAGAACATCTGATAGAATTTAATTCTCAATGTATTACCCATTTTTTTAAAAAATGAATTTTATAAATGTTAATAATCTCTAACAATTTGCCATTTGGTAAAATCATTTTTGAAAACAGATCAGTTTCCTACAGACGTGCTTGATTTTGTGCTGACTCAGCAAGCCCCAATACATCTTGTTCTCCCAAGAGCTAAGGCAAAGCCATTTCATATATTATGGTTGGGACTTCCAGGGCAGTCCTTAGCCAGCTCAGCATCATCAACATCTTGATAAATTCCTCGAGGGCAGAAATCAGATCGCACTGATTGTTGCATGTTTAGAGGCCTTCTTGGTTACCTGGTATTTGGGAACTTATAACTTGATGTATTACAAATTGATTTTACAAGAAGTTGCAATTTCTCCATCTAGAAAATAGCCTTAGAATACAGTTTCATTATATGAAGTTGGAGAGGAAGATGGCAGCTTTCCCCTTGGATGTCCTATTTGTGAAATTTGGAGATTTTTGGATGAATGATTTTAAAAGTTAAGCAAATTGAGACCATATGTGCAAAAGTAGCACAGGAAATATATCTTATGCAATGTGCATATTCAAATATATGAACATTTTAATAGCAAAAAAAGCATGAATAGTCACAGTAAGTGAGATAAACTGTTTAAAACATTAAACTGTTTCGTTAGATTTAGGTCAGAATATAGCCAAGTAAGTTCAGCTCATCAAATTTGCCACCAAATAAGATCGAACAAACTTGGCTTTCATTCAGAGCTTTTGTTTTTAGAGTTGGTTTTAGAGTTTTCTGTTTGCACATGAATCAAATCTGTGGTTTAATGAATCATACCATTTCTATACAAATGGAAAAGTGGAAGTTATTGTTGCTTTCCTGGTTTTCAGAGGGGGGTGGTAAAAAAAGTTTAAACAGTTTTAGGATAATAAAGTAACTAGACCTCACAAAATTCTCACCAGTATAATTGTTCTATTTTATAAAGGTCACAGCCAAGTGAAGGGTGAAGTGATTCATTCTGTACCACAAAGTTCATAATTAGTAAAACTGAAAGTTAAACATGAGTCTTTCAACTAACTTTTCAGCCTATCCTCTTGCCAAATCTTATTTTCATAAGAAAATTTTTCATGATGCTAAAAAATGATGATTCAGATACATTTATATGAAGATCAATGAGTGTATCACATTGCCTACAACTTTTTATTCATTTGAGATATTTTAGTTAGTTGGCAGAAGTAGACTGACTATTGCAAAGTTTGAGCTTTGTTCTGGTTATTTTGTTAAAAGGAATAAAATGTAGAAGTGAAAACTAATTCTGATTAAGGAATTATGAGGATTTGTTTGTCTTGTTTTCTCACATTTTTGTTTTAACTATTTAGATGTGCCTAGCCTCAGAGGGGGTAAAAATGGAAGATACAAAAGAATGGAAGAAAGCGAAAGAATCAGATGGTGGAAGAATCACAGAATTGGAGAAGGGACAGGAAGAAAGAGAAATAAAAATGGAGAAAACACATGAAGATGGGTTACAAAAGGAAGCAGAATTCGAAAAATCATTTAAAGATAATGTAAGAGAGGCTAAGGAATTGAGAAATTTTGAAGAGCTACAAATGGATGATGTAATGGCTATAAAAATGGAAGACCCCAAAGAAATTAGGAAAGAAGAATTAGGGGAAGACCAAAAATATAGTCACTTCCCCGATTTTTCTTATTCTGCCAGTAGCAAGATAATAATAAGTGATGTTCCCAATAGAAAGGATCATATGTGCCACCCTCATGGGATTATGATCATTGAGGATCCTACTGCCCTAAACAAACCAGAAAAGCTGAAAAAGAAAAAGAAGAAAAGCAAGGTAGATCGACATGGAAATGATAAATCCACACCCAAGAAGACTTGCAAAAAGAGGCAGTCTTCCGAATCTGACATTGAGAGTGTCATATATACCATTGAAGCTGTTGCAAAAGGAGACTGGGGTGTTGACAAACTTGGAGACGCCCCAAGAAAGAAGGTCCGCACCTCTTCAAGTGGCAAGGGAAGCATTTTGGATGCTAAGCCACCAAAGAAAAAAGTGAAATCAAGAGAGAAGAAAATGTCAAAGGAGAAATCCTCAGACATCACCAAAGAGTCAAGACCTCCAGATTTCATTAGTATTTCTGCCAGTAAGAGCATTTCTGGTGAGGTGCCAGAGGGTATAAAAGCAGAACCATTGACCCCCACGGAAGATGTACTACCACCTAACCTTTCTGGACAAGCCAAGCCAGAGGACAGTGAATGTCACAGAAAAATAGAGACCTGTGGCTCCAGGAAATCCGAGAGGTCTTGCAAAGGTGCTCTTTATAAAACCCTGGTGTCTGAGGGCATGCTCACCTCTCTGCGAGCTAATGTTGACAGAGGTAAGTGACTTTAATAAAAAGAATATGAAAAACATGCAGCATTTCTCCTTTAGACCTGTTGAGAAAAGATAGTTAGATACTGTTCTTTATTGTAGCAAAATAACCTTTTACCATTGTATCAAGGTTTTATATAGTTTATAGATAATATTCATTTGTCAATTTACCTTCAGATTTTCAAGCACTATTAAGAGAGTTCACTATTTTGTAGGTAGTTCTCATGATAGAAGTACCCAGATTAAGTTACCATTTTATTTTTACCAGTATGAGTTCATTGTTTTGACGATCCAGTATTGATTGGAACGTTTGATGTGTGTGTGTGTGTGTGTGTGTGTGTGTTTTAACTGATGGAGTTTCTTGAATGATACAGATGAGCTGAATATAGATCTTGAACTATGGGTCCAGAAGTGAACACCCTGTCTATCCCTTCCCATTAGTTAATCAAAACAAACTGAATTTTCTTTAGAACTTGACATCACCCAGAAACTAATCATATATAATAAATGAATTAATATATATTTCATAAATTATTCCTGTAAATTTATCTATTTTAGAATATAGCATCTGGCTAGGGCATTATCTCTTGCCAATTATATTCCAACAGGAGATATATGAGTCTTATGTCTAATAAGCCCAGAATGAAGATGTCTTGAGACTACAGAGTTCTTCAGAGACATTCCAGTGAGTCTCAGGGAAATTAGAATTAATAGTGTCTAACAGCAAAGGACTTCCATGCTTTAGGCTGCTTCTCAAATGGACAACAGTCTGTTTTCAGTTCCATAGTATCAGTTGAGTTATGACAAGACTCATCTCCAAGGTTAGGAGTCTTTTTTTTTCCTTTTTAGCTTCCATTATTAAAAGCAGCCCAGTATAATCACTTCAAGGACTCTGAGGTAGTTATAAATAACATCTTGCAAATAATAAAGTCAAGAAGTGACCTGTGACCCTCTGAGATAATCTTTCCCAACCCACATATACTGAACAGTTCCTTTATCCTTGGACTTCTTAGGTAAACGAAGCTCAGGTAAAGGAAACTCCTCTGATCATGAAGGATGTTGGAGTGAGGAAAGCTGGACATTTAACCAGAGTGGGACCAGTGGGAGCAAGAAGTTCAAGAAGACAAAGCCAAAGGAAGACTCTCTGCTTGGGTAAGTGTCAGTGAGCACAGTCCATCAATATTGTTCCCACCCCTGTGTGCTAGGATTTCCACAGTACATGTAAGTCACTGATTCTTCTTTGTTTGTTTAGCACTTGGTTCAGTCTTGGTAAATTTGCTAGCAAACATCAATCAAGTGCATTCCCATGATTCCACTACTGACATAGTTAATCATTCATATTTTAAGTAATTAGAAATTATAAAGTACATTTTAAACATGAGCCCGAGTTTGATTCAAGGTCTACCACACAGTGGTAGTATGATATTGTAAATCCTTTAATATTGCTAGGACCATTTTACCATTTGAAATTTAGGATGGATATTATCAGTATGTTTACATCTTGCCCACTTTTATGTTATATTAATATTTATAGTACTATATTTTAATATTTTCAGTGTATGTGCATGTATGTAAAATATGGCAAGAAAAATATGAGATAAATAAAACTCTGCTTTAGATCATAACAGTGATATTTTTTTTAAACTATACCATCTTCTTTTGCTCTGAGGATAAATCAGAAGTACTAGGTTAAATATTCTGGTACAGAGAGCATTTAATACATCATGCGTCAAAATGAAGTACTAAGTAAACAACAGCATATATCAGAATAAAATCATTAAGATTATTTCACAAATAATGTTAATAACAATCTTCATATAAAGCATCCTATTAGTAAGAGACAATACTTTATATTGATGAGGAAAGTCTGAATATTCAGTTGTACTGTTTTGAAAATCCTTAGAGATTTCTCATTAGCCCAATTTGAAAAGAATACATTAAAAGGAAATAATTCTTCCTATTTTTTCATAATTGTGTTAGAGGTATGCAAATTTTATGCATTGGGTATATTGTATTTGTTGTATTCATAATATTTGCATTTCTAATTTGTGGAATAAGGTAATGTTTTTTTGTGGAAATTACAGTGTTTTAAAGTCTGATTAATTCTAAGACTCTAGGTCATCATAAAATAAGTAGAAATTATTTCTCATGGTGCTGACTCCTCAAAATTATTTACAGTGAAATAACATATTTATAATTTTATGTTTCATCCCTAATATTTTAAAAGGCCAGAGGACTTCAAATGAGCTTTGCTTATGTTATGTTTAAATAATGACTTGAAAATCTCCCTCTTATCATGTCAAGTGATGTGTTCAAATGCAGAATTACCTTTAAAAAGTAGAGCACCTTCCTAGCAAGAGAAAGACCATGAATTCAAATCTCAACTGAAAAAAAAAAAAAAGATCCTTGAACATCTTAAACCAATGTCCATCTTCTATAGGAACTACTGAAGCCTTATCAAGTCTCAGTGACAAGAACAGAGCAGGTCTCATTATACAGACACTGTGGGAATAAGACTCCCAGTCAGAACTGTCTCTGCTGCTGCTATTACAAACTACTGAGTTGTGGGCTGAGGGTATAGCATAGTTACTAAGAGTACCAGCCTAAGTAAGTAAGTAGAAGGCTCTGAGTTCAAATCCCCGTATCACTCATACAAAAAAAGAAACTTCTAACTAAGAGATATTGTGCCAGTCTCCGGTAAACAGGATAAGTGAAACAGTCTTTGAGAATCTGTTCTTAAAAGATTATTATGGAAAGAGATACCCATATACCTTCCACTTACTGTTAAGAAAGCACAGTATAGTTCTTCAGCTTCCCTGATCTGTGCACCTTCCTAAGTCTCATTAAATGAAAGCCACGTTAAGGCTCCAGCAGGCCTGGAACCATTGCTGCAAGGGGCCTTGGAGACAGCTAAAGCAAACTCCCAAATTCTCAGACTTTGCCAATGTCATGTTTAAAGTCATTTGAGGTTTAAGGTAAAGTGGTGTTGCTTCTTTGTCAGTGTTCATTTGAAAACTAGCTTTACTTTGCTCACTGAATAATTTCATTCTTATAAGGCTAGAACTCCAACAATTTTTCTCTATTTAAATTTCACGTGGTATTTCATGTGTGTGTGTGTGTGTGTGTGTGCGGCATATTTATTTTTTAAGCACATCTTACAAAATTTCTTATATTAACAGTAAACTTATCAACAAATATGCATGTATATGAATCTGTGGAATGATAAGATGTCTGAATAAAGTATGATTTGTGCTGAATTTTATGAGATATTCTTATACCAATGGAAAGAATAGCAAATTCCACACATCTAATATTTTAAGTGATCTTACTGCTTTTCTGAAAGCATTGTAACTTGTTATCTGAGTTTCCTAAGAAAGCTGTACTGGTAAATCTCACGCACTTATGAAAATATGTTTTTTCCTTTGCACAGGATTTATTGAAAATGCAATAATTTCTAGAGGACCCATTTTCAAATGGAGTGCTCTGAATGTAATAGTAACATTTTATGTTTTAATAATTGGTTTCATACTGATGTGATTTCCTATTCAACAGCTCAACAAAGTTGGATGAAGAATTTGAAAAGAAATTCAACAGCCTCCCTCAATATAGTCCTGTTACATTTGACCGGAAATGTGTATCTATTCCAAGAAAAAAGAAGAAGACTGGAAACATATCCTCAGAACCAACTAAAACCAGCAAAGGTTAGCTGTGACCTGAACCTCCCTGCACTGGCCCTTTGACTACGCTTTGCAGCTCCCTGTAGATGAATATAGTACTTGGATTTAGAACTAAGGCAATAGGGAATTGAAATTTCACATTAACTTCTAAGATTACTTTGGTTTACCTCTCTTTTTTTCCTTTTTCCTTCTTAATTTTCCCTAGCCTTTGTCTGAAATTATACATTTATCCTTAAACGTATAGCCAAGGTTTTTCCAAAGTGTTAAGCACAATCATCAGCCTCCTGATGTCCACTTGAAATTTTGAGGTTTTATTGAGACATTTATGCTGACATTTCTTCTGTCCCTTATGTCTATAGCAAGCTAGCCTAACATGTTTAAAGTGAAATTGGGAGGTAAAGTTTTCAAGATAGCAATACTGTCAGCCCACAAATATCAAATGTAGTCCCAGGTATTAAAATGACCAAAATCATCCCCATACTTCTCTTTGCCTAAATGGACCATCTCATAATTAAAATACCTGTAATTTTAATTGCAATTGTAATTTGGATGAATCATATCTATATTATATATGTTGTTAAATTTAGATAAATACTTGGAATAGCATTTCAATAGCATTTGATATAGCATTTGATATAGTGTTTGATATAGCGTATTAATTATTTCAACAATATTAGCTTATCCAGTTATATCAGGGGACCTGAGGACCAAGAAGACTTGAATGAATCTCAATAGTCACCAAATATAATGCTTCAGTCCCAAAGGATACTTTGAAAAGTGGGGATTTTTTGGTGGTATCAATAATTGGGACCACTTTTGACATTAGTGAACAGGGGCAGCTAAGATGACAGTATTGTTGTCTTGAGAACCTTATCCTCCAGTTTCACTTTAGCTAAAGATTGGTCAGGGAATTATTCCTGTACTTTTCCACACATATTTAATGACTTCATTCAGGGAGCTGTCCTGTAGAGACAGAAAATGCAGAGATGAAGGTCTGTGTGTCTGACCTATAGCTGCTTTCAGGATTAAATTTGAGCAAGATTTGATAGAAGTGTTCTTAGAATTGTCTTGCAAAAGTGACTGGCTATTTCATGCTTTGTGTCAAATCAGATTAATTCCCTGCTTCTATGTATTTTAGGTAGATAGATCCAATATAAATATGAATGGATACAGTTAGTTTTATACATTTTGAAAGGGAGTATTAAAGAAAAGTACAATTTCTCTCTAAAGAAAACTAAACTTCACCCTCAATACTTACAAATCCTTTATAGACTAGAATTGCCACAACCAAAGAGGTTTACTTTGAGATCTTTATCTCAGAACATTATTGAAATGCATAGGAAAATGCCCCTTTCATCATTAAAAGTAGAAAGGTACTTAAAAGTCATTTTAGAATGAACTGTTTTCCTCTGTGGTTAATAAAAACCAAGTCTAGCAAATAAAGAACTGAAAAAGAAATGTTGTTGCATCACCAGGTTTGCTCATCTGGGAAAATAATGTTGTGTCGAGATCGTCCAAGATGGATGAGGAAAGAAATAAAGTAGACTTGTTGACAGGTAGGTAGCTGAGCACTAGAATGGATTGCCAAATGAAATGACAGTCTTTGTGCCCTAGAGATATTTAGGAATAGGCAAAGTAGTCCATGAGCCCAAAAATGTCAGCTATCTTGAGCTCCAATAATTCTTGGATTTAAAGTTGCTGATAACTACCTGACAAGCCAGTAAAATGGAACTTAATTGATTGATGTACAAGCTGCATTCCTTATCCTATTCTTACAGTTCAAGACATTCATTTTACAGCTCTGAAGTTGGCCATATTATCTTTCAGAGATTATAACAATAGATTTATTTTGCAAAGCTATAAGACCCTGAAGTTTTTTTTGTCTATTTTCATACACCTTTTTTGGGGTGGGGGGGTTGGGGGGAGGATCTTTGCTGTTAACATAATTCTCTCCCAGCTGAGATTAATGATATTTCTTTTGATGTGAAATGGCTTTGTGAAGCTTTGAATTATATTTCATATAGTATCATCTTAACTCTCTCATTATGCACAATGTCACTGGTTCTTATAAATGTCTGTGAATAATTACAGATGTGAGGAGGCTTCAAGACTTAGGATTTTGTTCTGCATTCTGTCTTTGTGAAACAAAATGGAATTCAAATACAGCAGGAATTAAACAGTATATTCTGTTAACCAAAGTAATAATATTTGTGTAAATAATAATATTTGGCATTTGTAGCACCAATATACCAGACTACACATTATTAATTAAATTATCATACCAGCTACACTGTAATTGCCTTTGACTCTAGATCCCTTGCATCTTTAGATAATGAATCATTCAAAACAAACAGTGTAAGATCATTAGCTCACTAGTAAAATAAGATGTGTCCATAGAAAACTCCTTTTTCCCCCAACCATTTGCCATTTGTTTCTATTTTTTTCTTATATATGTAGTCATTGAATATTATGGGTTTTTTTTTTCTGACTTATCCTTGTATCTTTTTGGGTAGTTCAGTTTTTGTAATGGTAATAGAATTTTTCTGAAATTTCTAGAAGGAATGATTTATTTTTATATAGTCACTTTTCTCTGAAAGATGGTATCTACTTGGATTTACCTCTCTATTTTCCCATTGGCCTTCTTAATTATGTCTGTTTTTCCAAATCATCACTTTCTTTCCCTTTATCTCTCCCCTATTCCTATATCTGTGTAATGGGTCTCATCACAGGCTTTCCCATGAAGGAAATGAAAATAACTGAGTCATCTTCCTTCAATTGAGCTTTGGGCTATATGTCTAATAGACATGATGATTTAGAAATAGAATTTTCTTTTCCTTCTAATTACAAAACATCCAATTAATTATAATCCACCCAAATGACAATACAATTCATCTGATTTAGCTCAATCTGACATTGTTTTCAAGGTTGTATCTTTCTCAATTTGTGTTTTTATGTGAAAGCTTGAATTGTCTAAGTTTAATTATAACTTCTTAAAGTTGGTTTTGAACCATTGTTTTATATACATAAGTATATACATACATACTTACATATGGTAAAAGCCTATGAACTTAAGTTTCTAGGGAAATAGTAATTTTCAAAGGAAGGGATAGATAGTCTTAAAGAAAAAGCAATTGGAATTTTATTGGGAATAGAAGTGTCTAATTATTCCCCATCCTGACCCTTGGTTTCACTTCTCCTCCATATCTCTCTGTCTTTAGATAGTACTTTGCTTTTACTTTTCCCCAATCCACACTTAAAGCAATATTTAATTTAAAAAAGCTGGCTAGTTGATAAGCCAGGTATGGGTAGCAGTTGATAAGCCAGGCACCAGTAGCTCCTGCCTGTAATCCTAGCTACTCCAGAGGCTGAGATCTGAGGATCACAGTTCAAAGCCAGCCTGGGCAGGAAAGTCCATGAGACTCTTCTCTCCAATAAAAAAACACTAGAAAACTGGGAGTAGTGCTGTGTCTCAAGTGGTAGAGCGCTCACCTTGAGCTGAAGAGAGCAGGGGCAGCACCCAAGCCCAGAGTTCAAGCCCTACGACCGGATGCCTTCCCCCCCAAAAAATGATGGCTAGTGTCAGAACTGGTTGGTAGAGTACCTTCTTAGCATGCATGAGGCCTGAGTTCAGTTTCTAGCATAGCAAAAAAAGGGGGTAGGGCAGTCTGCGAATCAAAAAATATATATTGTAATATTAATCGAAGAAGCAGGTTTATACAAGTAAAAGCAAAAGGCAAAAATTTTAAAGACAAAATCTCCTATATGGGGATATTAAGCTAACTTGAGGATGGTAACTGGGCTAGCTTTTCTATTAGAAAGTTGAAGCTTTCGATTGGGCAGAATTCTGTATTTACCCTAGAAGTATTTGAATGTCTTTACTGCTACCAAATCTTTTTAGGAACATGGTGGCAACATGTTGTCAGATAAAAGGTATATATCTAATGTGAGCTTGACCTGAACAAAGCAACCATATCCAGCCCAAGGATGTAGCTCCTTGCTCTTAAGGAATGTTACTTGATAGTGGCTGATGTACTTGCTAAGGAATTATTCAAATCAACTGATCCACATGACCGGCAGCTAGAAGCATTTGCTATAAATTATTGCAAATGGGTTTATTGGTTCATTAGTTACTCATTACTTATGTGTCTAATATAAAGTGACAGCCTAGTCTTAGAACATGACCCTTGCTCTTACAAAACTGTAGGGAGTTATATCTGGCATTTGTTTTAGACAATAGTTCTAAAGAACAAGTTCTCTTAATTCACCTTACCTGCTGACTTTGAAAAATTATTATACCAGACTAACAGGAAAATGACTTCTGTGTCACTATTGCTTATGTCAGCAATTTTTTTAGCAACTTAGAGGATTAATGTTGCTGAAATCTATGGCAGCCCTATTATATCCCCTTGGCTTGTAGTTGGAGAGTTCAATTTGGGTGCTGATCTCCTTTATAGGCCATTTTTCCCAAAAACTCATAAGCCAGTTTGCATATAAACCATGAATAATTTGATCATAAGAAATCTCAAGTTGATACAAATATTCTCTCCCACTTTCTGAAGAATGGAAACCTGAGGTGTATACAGAAAACAACAATTGTCAATCTTTTTGTTTTCTAAATGCTTTGCTTTTCACTTCCTGCTTATCTCTGCCATGGTTACTCTGTGAGTTATATCACATGTGCCAAACAAGAGAAAGATAGTAAATTTACTTATTCTGTGTTTATTACATATTTTGACTTTATCTTCTCACACACCATATCTGTCACATGTACTATAGTGGTAAGCATAAATTAAAGTGTTTTCATTTTTGCACTTCAAAATTGATGCTTTTTAGTGACTACCACTAGATCTTATTATTGTCTTTTCAAGGTTGTCACTTTCTTTGAAGAAGTTGTCATTTGCTTATAATATTTTATAGTTGTAGCTTGGGAGTGGGTAGGAACTAGGAAACAAAAAAATAGTTTACAGAAACAACTCTAGATGGTCCCCCTCCTCTACCCTGTAAATATCAACAAGCCCTGTCTA